AGTATGCAATATAATCCTAGCTCCATGAGGTTAGGGGATGTGTTTGTTGTGTTTGCCACTGTCTGCTCACTGCTAGTACTGTACTTTTGAGTTTAATAAATATTAAGCATCTTAAAAAAAAAAGAATACTACTGTAACTGTTGAGAGTATATCATGTGGTTAGCAGTATTCTATTATTTTGTAACTGCCTTTCAAGTGTTTATAACCAGGTTGCAAGTGAAATAAATTATTTGTAAAGCTTTTCATGTAGTATTACAGGCCAGTTTAAGATATGCAATTAGGGTAGAGAAGATGGAATTTGGATTGTACTTCAGAGTAGGTAGAAAAAGAAGGCCAGCAATATCATCAAAAAAGAAAGTATAGGTATATTTGAAAGATAAACCTAATGGAAATGAGAAGTGTGTGTTTGTGGGATGGAGTAATATTAATTCAGTAGGTTAGAATGAATGGGTTTAGCCTGGCCAGTGTGGCTCAGTGGTTGAGCATAGACCCATGAACCAAGAGGTCACTGGTTGATTCCCAGATTGCAGGCTCTATCCACTGTAGGGGACATGCAGGAGATAGCCAATCCATATTTCTTTCTATTCCTCTCCCTTCCTCTCTAAAATCAGTAAGAACTTAACTAAAGAAAGAAAGATAAAAAGAATGGGTTTATGGGAGAATTGAATGCCAGGCTGAAGAAATCAGGCTTAATAGGCTTAGTCTTTTTTCAGAATATACATCCTGATCTTAATTCTGGCAACTTACTATCAAAAGTATTTCATTAATGGGGAAAAAAAGATACTGCTTCTGTCAGATATAATAATAGCAATCCTATATAATAAAAGTCTAATATGCAAATTGACTGAACAGCTGAATGACTGGTGGAATAACTGCTTGCTATAATGTACACTGACTGCCAGAGGGCAGACGCTCAATGCAGGAGCTGCCCGCAGGTCCTAGGCCAACCAAGGTGGGTGCCAGTGGGGGCCCCATGATTGCTCTGGCGGTCACCCTGCAGAGGGAGGCAACCAGTGGCAGCTGTGGGGGGCAGGGTCAGTGACCAGGTGGCGCCAGGCTGGCCAAGGTAGGTGCCAGTGGCCCCCCCCCCCCCCCGATTGCCCCGCTGGTCACCCCACAGATAGGCCCTCATCACCAGCCAGGCCTAGGGGTCCTATCCATGCACGAATTTCATACATTGGGCCTCTAGTCTATAATAATAAAAATATGCAAATTGAACAGCAGAAAGATCATCTGAATGACTTTCCAGATAACCACACTATGACACCCACTGGCACCAGGCAAGCCAAAGTGGGTGTGATGCATTTGGTCGGGGTCCTGGTCATTGCCCCATGATCTCCCTATAAACTAGGGAGGCCCAGGTCACTGGCTAGTGGGGCCATCTATCAGTTGGGGGAAGGGAGATGCTCCACGATCGCCCCAAAGAGGGAGGCCCAGGCCACCAACTGGCGGGCTGTGGTGGGTGAGTGGGGCCTCCCTTTGTGGGGCGTGATTGATCGCATAATTGCCCTGTAGAGGGAGGCCCAGGCCACTGGCCGGCAGGATGATCAATCGGGGGCTCTACGATTGCCTCAAAGAGTGAGGCCCAAGCTACCAACTGGTGGGTGGGGCCTCCCTCTGTGGGGTGTAATTGATTACCCCAAATAGGGAGGCCCAGGTTACCCTGTGGTGGCACTGTGGTGTGTGGGAGGGGCCTTCCTCTGGGTGGGGGGATCCATTGCAGTGCCCCAGCCAGGTAGGCAGGGTCTACCTCTTTGGGGCAATCTATTGCAGGTCTCCCAGACTGTGAGAGGGCATAAGCTGGGCTGAGGGAACCCCTTTCCCCCCAGTGCAGAATTTTGTGCACCAAGCCTCTAGTCCTATATAATAAAAGCCTACTGTGCTAAGTGTCCAACTATTCAACCAGTCGCTATGAGGCGTACTGACCGAGGGGCAGGCGCTCTGACCAGTAGGTTATCTTGCTGATGGAGTCCGGCCCATCGAGACTCTGCAAGATGGGCTGGGCCCATCCTGAAGCCCTCCCACGATCCCTTCCTGCCCCGATTGTGCACTGGTGGGGTGTTTGGTCTGATCTTTACAGGCCAGGCTGAGGAACACCACCGGTGCACAAATCTGTGCACTGGGCCTCTAGTATCTTATATTTGAGAGCACCCAGCAGTTTCTAAAGAACTCTACCTCATTTGATACTTGGAACTGCCTTGTAAGTAGGCAGAACAGTTACTAGTGCTGATGTTATTTCTCCTGTTTCACCACAAAGGGAATATAAAGCAGAAGTAGAAATTAGATCCTTATAATGTGATTATCTTAAGACATGTTCAAATTATAATAGAATATACATAGCAAGATATTTATTCTAGGAACCCCAGATCCAATCAGAATAGAAACCCAGAAGACATCTGTAATTTTCTTCTTATCAGGGGTTTTGAATTGTAAATTTGTATTATAATAAATTAAAGCACATACTGATAAATGACTACTGTTTTACAGTGACTTATACAAAATGGAAAATTAGTGTGGTGTTTTAAGATATAACTTAAATTTGTAAGTTTTGGTTTATAAACTACCTTAAGCTTTTGCTTGAATTCGTTGCTATAAATATTCTTTTGAAATCCCAGTAAGTAGACAATAAATCTTTTGAAACATTGCAAATTACTATATTATTTGAAAAAATAAAATAGTAAAAGAATAAAATTACTATAGCATCTGAAAGAATTGACATGTTGTGTTTGTATTTTTCCTTTTTCTTATTTATCTCAACAACGTTATGAGAGTTTATGATTTTCTAATTGTGAAAGCTAACATTTATTTATTGGAGTAACATTGGTTAGTAACATTATATAAATTATAGGTGTACAGCTTTATTATACAATACTTATATACTTTATTGTGTACTTACCCTCACAGAAAGTTAATTATTTTTTCTTCACAAAAATTAACATCTTGTTATTTTCTCTTAGGAAAATCTGGTATTCATTAAATGATAAGGAGTAGATGGTTTAACATGAACATTTTTTCTTTTGCCTTAGTGTCTTTTGGTCTATATGGTTTCCTGTTTTAAAATATTAATTGCCTCTAGTTCTTTAATATAATGTCACACCTTTCTAAGTTAAGATACTTGAAATCTATTTCAGTGATGGAATTCTCTAGTGGTGATATATGCTAAAAAGAATCTGGAAAGGCACTTTTTTGATTATGTTAAAATCTTAAAGATTTCACAGAGATGAGTTATTAATGCAAATATCACTTCTAGAGAAGTTTGTTCTGACTTATACTGAAGTATGAAGGTTAAGAAAGTTTGACTTGAGCCCATATAACTATGAAAGGGTTCTTGTTAAATATGTTCCTATTTATGTCATATCTACCTAGGTTATAAAATGAAACTGAGAAGTCATTCCCTGGTAAAATATTTTAATTAGGAATGGGCAGATTTTGTAAACAAACGGTTACAAAAATACAAAATTAATCCAGTAAACTCACAAGAGTAGAGTTACTAATACAATATAGTAGACCAAAAAGTAGATACAATTATTGAGAATAATTCAAACCTATCTTAATGACTCAGGTTTGTGATTTCATATACTTTGATTATATTGGGTCATAAATAAAAATCATATACGAAATTGGATGCTACTAAAACCAGGATATACTTTGGCCTTTGCTTTCTTGGAAAATTCCCTGATTTTGTTTTGGTCTACGATGAGTTGCAAATTTGGACCTATAACCCGTCTTTGTACAAAAGCACTAGGTCAAAGGCCAGAATAGCTATATTTCATCCTTCCCCAATTGAGAAAGTTGTTTGGTTATTCTGAGTGTCCCTTGATTATTTTTCAGTACTATTCCAGTTACTATTTCTCTGTAATGTACCATGTCAGTCTCTTCTGTAAGCCTTCATTCCCTTTTTAAATCTCACTTCTATTGGATTTGTTAATGAAGCATCGAGGCATCAAATTCTCTTGATAGATCTCATTTTTTAGTGTTCCCTTGGTAGGACTTAAACTAAACTGAGCTAAATGTTTGATTTTGTTTTTTTAAATAGCATTGGATATAAAGTTCTTTTAACATTTTAGACATTGAATGAGTGCTGGCTTGCTTTATCTTGCTTTGTCTTATTTCAAGTTATTCAGTGTGCCCAAGATTAGGCTCGACCTTTGAGTTACATATGCGGGTAGATATGTGAGTGATCATTGCCTGCAAGGTTCTGTTGTACACATGGTTTCTAGAAGTCATGTTTTTGGTTTTGTAATATCCAGAGAATTTCCAGATATCTCTCCTTTAAAAGAATTTGGCCAACAGTGTTAGCCACGATGGAATACCAGCTGTTTCCAGGATTAGCAGGGTTTGTGAGTCAAAACCTTAGTCCTGGTTTTGTCAACTGTTTTGCCTTTCCAGTGTCATGTAGAAATTATTTCCCATTTTCTGAGCAGCTTTGGTTTTAACAGTGTTGCCTCATGTCAACGTCTGCTTCTTTTGGGTGGAGTAAAGGAATAAGAGTAATGGCTTACTCATTCATTAGCGTCATCAAAAATGAAAGGTTACAAGAAAGTGTAATTTAATGAGTTTTATACTGTTCTGTAAATCATAATGGGTTTCTGGTCATATATAAACTAATTTTCATACTTAAATTGTAATTTCTAATTGACCTCAGCATTCAAATGTTTTTTATAAACTTCACATTTAGTGAATTATATAAAACACATTAATTTATTACATTGCATAACCACACTTTCTTTTAGTAGTGAATCCATTTAGACTTAGACAGTTATTATGCAGATTCATTTGTAAGCCTTTATGCCTTTTCCTCGTTCTTTGCCCATCCATGCACACACACATTTCCTTATGTCCCAATTACTAAATTACAATTTCTGTTTCCGTAGTTCTATTTGCCTTTTTCAGCTGGACTTTTAGGTGAATGTTTTCCTATTTTTCTGGCCTGTTTCTTTTTCTACTCTTGAATCACTGGCAACTTCTTTGCTGATTTCCTTTCTCCTCCCTCCCAACAGAAATTTCCATGCAGTATCGGCATGATGGAGCTTGTCCAACAACTAGTAAGTTGTCGAACTGGGTTGGTAGCCCAGGCTTTTTGACTCCTACTGTAGTGCTTTTTTGAGTGTGTTAATCTTTAAATTTTAATTTTCAAAATTCAATTTGTTTTTAATTGAATAGATTTCTCATACAAAGATGTCTTAATTACTGCTTTGTTCGATGTTCATTATCCATATTACAGTCAAATTGTGAACACATTTTAATTACTATTTGGCCCTTTAATATGGTGGTTTTGTTGCAGAATTGTGACTTCTGTCACCAATCTTGATGTTAATCTATTTTTCAGTATTTGTATATTGGCAGTCGATAGCTTTTTTGCTTAGACTGCTAAATTTGTTAGGACTATTATATTAAATTCCAAGATATGAGCATGTTTGATCAGGTTAGGTGATAAAATGATTTTTAAAAATATGATATTGTTAAAGGTGACCAAAGGTCGATTTAACTATATAGATTTGCATCTAGGTACTCACTTTTTACAAGAAAAACATAATTTGCTACTAAGTATCTTCTTAGAAGTGATTTTGCAAAACAAAAGTAATTTTGCATATGTAATTTTTACTAAGGAAATGTGATAATAGTAGTATATCTAAAATTTAAATTTAGTAGATGTAATAAATCGACAAATCTAATATTTAGAACTTTATACCATGTAAAAATTGAGCTTGCAGTTTTAATGATTCAAACGATACATGATCAACTTACCTAGATTTTATTAATACCAATTCAGTCTATGCCTATGTATTTCTTTTGTGTGTTTGAGAATGATCTTAACCTGAAGTCCTTTTTTCCTTACTTAAAAGCTTTCTCAGAGTTGCTGAATGCAATACACAATGGTAAGTTGTATTAGAATCTTCTCTGGTGGTTCATTTATCACAAAGGTTGCCTTTTACAGAGAATTTGATTAAAAGCTTGCATGTTCTATTGATGAGATGAAATCTGGCTTCGCAGTGAGTCAATTGTTCAGCACCTTAGTGAAAACTTTTTGTAGACTGCCTATTGGAGGATAACAGGTCAATGTAGTTCATCAGTTTGGCTTTTATTGTCTCTTTGTGAGGCAGAATGTAATAGTGTTGTTCTAACCTTATGAAAGTCTTGTCTTTTCTATTTTTGCAAACAGTTTTTATAGTTATTTTGAGTTTTCTCTTGCCAGCACAGTTAGTAACTGGTACCTTCACAAGGAATTTACTGCTTCTTCCACATCTTCAAAGGAAAAATTTATTTTAGGATTTTAAGTTAATGAAGGAATATTTTTTTTTTTATAATTTAAACCTATATTCCATATAATGAATAAAGGAAGATAGCTTTCTAAATTGTGTCTCGTTTAGAACCAGGTTTTCTAAAGGAAATTACATCTGTAGATTTGGATCCTGAAATTAGGACATAAGGCAAATGCTGCTAACAGTGTTCACTTTTTTATTTTTAAATTTTTATTGATTTTTTAGATAGATGAAGGGAGAGGGATAGAGAGTTAGAAACATCGATGAGAGAGAATCATCGATCAGCTGCCTTCTTGCACAGCCCCTACTGAGAATGTGCCCACAACCAAGGTACATGCCCTTGACCAGAATTGAACCTGGGACCTTTCAGTTTACAGGCCAATGCTCTATCCACTGAGCCAAACCGGTTTCAGCACAGTGTTCACTTTTGCATTGTAATTATAATGAAAGTCAATTTTGCAAAAAATATTTGTTTAGTTTTCAGTAACCTTCTACAATTCTTTTATGTTCAAAAAAACTTTTTGTTAATCTAATGTCATCCTTATTGATTTTCTTTTTCAGTTTTCAACTGACACAACTTATTTGTTCAAAACTGTTTATATGATTCTAAGTATTTTTCCAACATGTTTTCATTAACTTTATGAGATTTTGCACATTTATCTAATGTAGCTTAATTTCCAGTCAATTTGCATTATATGTCCAGTGTTTACAAATCTATAGCCAATACGACAATAATGGCATGATGAACAGGCATAAATACTCAAGTTGATTTGAAGGTGGGGGGTGGTTGGAACATGGTTTTGTAAGTGACATTTTATTAATGCATACATTTATTTATAACTTGCTTCCCTATGTAACCTGGAACTGAAGAGTCTTAGATAATGAATATTCCAGATAAAAAGGAACTCTTGGACATTTGGTATTTAGCAGAAAAGGGATTGGAAATATTTTTGAGAAAAAACTATACATATTATCCATTCTTTGATAGGGAAGTATAAAAAAAAGAAGAGGCTTAACTTTTTTTTTTCCTTCAATTTGCATAGGTAAATTTAGACTTGCTCTTTAATTTTGGAATATTAGAATTTGGAGGCATGCAAGAAGTTTGAAAAGAGTATACTTGGGGTAAAAAAAGAAAGTAGATATCATATCCTACCATGGGGAACTGTTGTGAATAAACTACCACCTAAATCTTTTGCCTTTATTAACTAACAAAGTATTGGGGTGTATTAATTTATTGGGACATTTGTCATGCTCTCTGTATGGATGAATGAAATTAATGTCATGGAGCTAATAAAATGAACACAGGGTTTAAAACTTTTTTTCTGTTTTACAAGATTATGTTTGACAGACTTTCTAATAGTGTAGTTAGATATTTGTGTAATATTAATCACATCATATAGAGAAACAAAATAAGTAATGGACTTAATATTTTTCTTACATGTTTTATAGAAGTTTGTACCTATTGCCCTTCTTTATCCATTTTACCTTCCCCCCAATTCTCTCCCCAAGACAACCACATCTGTTCTCTATATCTATGAGTTCTTTTTTTTTTTAAGAGATTCAACATATAAGTGAGACCATATAATATTTATTTTTTTCTTTCTGACTTAACTTACTTAGCATTTAGCCCTCAAAGTTCATCCATATTATCACAAATGGCGAGATTTAGTTCTTTTTTATGTCTGAATAATATTTTAGTGTTGGTGTGCACATGTGTGTATATTTTCTTTATCCATTTAACCATGAATGGACATTTAGATTGTTCCCATGTCTTGGCTGTTGTAAATAATGCTGCAGTTAACATGGGGTGGATATACAATCATCCCTTAGTATACACATGGGATTGGTTCCAGGATACTTACTAGGATACCACAATCTATGGATGTTCAAGTCCCTTATCTAAATGGCATAGTATTTGTGTGTGACCTACATAAATATTCCCATATACATTAAACTAGAGGCCTGGTGCAGGAATTAGTCCTTCAGCCTGGCCAATGACCAGGGCCCATCAGAGCTGTCTCTCCATTCCTGATAGGGGCTGATTGGGGCCAATTGGGGGAAGGGGCCATGTGAGGTTGGCTGTGGGAACACACTGCCACTCAGGGGGAAGCTCCTGTGTTTGAGAATCTGCCCCTTGGTGGGCAGTGCGCATCATAGAGACCAGTTGTTAGCAAAGGAGCAAAGGATTTTCAGAATCCACCAGAGGCTTGCCCCCCAGTGACAGCATCCGGTACCCCACCTTGATCTGGTGCCACCACTCACCTGCTCCACCATCCCACTGTGGCTGATGCCCTCATGGTCCACGTGTGGCCCCCTAATGGTCAACGCACGTATGTCATGGCAAGGCAATCAGTTGTTTGGTGGTTCTGCCATTTGGTCTATTTGCATATTATGGTTTTATATATATAGATTAGCTTTCTTTTGGTTTTTGTCCAGTATACCTAGAGTTGATCAAGTGCCCCAGGTCAGTATCTCAGAAATGATGATAGGGAATATGTCATTTAGTTATTTATGATAAAAACTAGAGGCCCATTGCACGAAATTCATGTATGGGGGCAGTGTCCCTCAGCTCAGCCTGCAACCTCTCCAATCTGGGACCCCTTGCGGGATGTCCGACTGCCTGTTTAGGTTCGGACATGGGATTATGCCTAAATGGGCAGTCGAACATCCCTCTCACAATTCAGAACTGCTGGCTCCCAACTGCTTGCCTGCCTGCCTGCCTTCAAGATCAGACACATGTTGATCTTGACATTATCTGTCAATAACACAGGCTTCTTTTGGCTACAGAGCTAGCTTGTTTCAGTAGTAGATGTTTAGACATAGTCCCACCTCTCTGCTGTCAGGTGAATGTGAGTCTTGGTTGTAAGATGGCAGAGAGCTGTCTGACCAACCGCTGATTCTCTAGGGGTGGGACTTCCTCCTCCCTGCTGTCAGATGGCGTCAGGCCACTGAGAGCTGTGTGACCAATGACTGATTCTGGCTGATTCTGTGGGGGTGGGACTTCCTCCTCCCTGCTGTGTTTGGGCCAGCACAAACTGGGACACAGCATCAAGTCCCCCTGCACCAGAAGACCCAGGGTCAACTCCCCGCCCACTTGGGTATCCTCTGGATGCAGCATCCACCCTCATGGAGGGGCTGACAGGCCCACTTACGGTGAGGCTGGATCCACTGCTGGAGTGGGCAGATCCTGCCTCTCTCCTTGGTCCCTGTGAACCCTGGTCAGGCCAACAGACCCAAACAATCCAGCCTCCCTGCTCAGCCCCAGACACTCCAGAGGCAGCAGAGTAGCAAGGCGAGATCGGCTACCAGAGTGGGCGGATCCCGCGCAGCCCCTGGCTGGCTCACAAACCAGCAGCGGGGTTGAGGGGACTGGGTGCCATCATCTTGTGGCTATGTGGACCGCCATTTTGTTACAGAGTTAATTAGCATATTACTCTTTTATTAAATAGGATATAACTGCCTGTAATGACAAACATTGCTTGCCTTATTCTTACTTAAAGTAATCTTGGGAAAACGAATTATAATTGGGAAGTTGCTTGCTTGGTGAATCTGACACCATAGTAAGGATAGTTAATGAAATCATGTTTAAAGATTATCACCTTGATAAGATTCTTTTCCTTCTTTATAATACAGTTGTTTTGTAGCTTCCTTTCACATTCATTTCTAGTAATGTGTTCATAGAAATTATGTCCCAATCACCTTGATTATGTAGTTATAGACCATGTATTATGTTGAGCAGTTTCTCTAGATGGTTAATACTAGTTTCATACTCAGAGGGTTATTTTATTTCAAGATTTCTGGATGGAATCATATTTATAATAATAAAAGCATAATATGCTAATTAGATTGGACAGCCAAATGAGATTCTGGATGACCTTCTGGAGGAAACTGGGGCTGCAAGAGACCAGGCAGCTCCGTGGCTGCAAGGGCTGAGCTCCTTGCACAGATTTTGTGCATCGGGCCTCTAGTCAACACTAATAAAAGAGTAACATGCTAATTGACCATACCTTTGTGACACCCCAGCCAATCAGGATTGAGTATTCAAATTAACCCAACAAAGACGGTACATTGATTTGCATATGCAGGCATTGAGTGCCACCCCAGCTGCTCTGGGCCTCTGGGCAGCGTGGAAAGGTGGAAAGGCGGCTCTGAGCCAGAGCAGAAAGGCAGCTCTGGGCCCAGAGTGAAGGTGGTGCCAGCAGCCAGGGGACGGATGGCCTGTTCTTGCATGAATCTTCACGCTTCAGGCCTTTAATTTTTAGAATAGCCATATATTTGAAATTATGCTTCTTAGACTTCTCCATTATATTAACAATATTAGGAGCAAGTAATGTTTTGATTAAAAAGGTGTATTAGGAAGCTTTTACTTGAAAATTGTTTCTGGGTATGTCAAGATTTAGAAGACTTTTTTGGCAATAATAGAAAATCTAATTTTCTATCCAGATCAGTCCTTATGGACCTATATAGAGAAAACATGTTAGTGTGATAAACATATAAAAGACATTAGGGAAGATAATAATTAGAAACAAAATATTAAAAAAAACAAAAAACAACTAGAAACTTTGGGTATGGAAAACTACAGTAGTCAAAGAACACAACACATGGGATAAATAGCA